TCTGATTTCATTTTTCCCAGATCCTCTTTTGTTGCCAGTTCAGCTTGTCCAGGTGGTTGAGTATCAGATTGTTCCATCTCATTTCTCTTTGGGGTTGCTGTAGGTGATCTGGAAGTCTGTTTTTGAGGCTTGTTTATGTGTCTTCTCATTTCCGTGGGGAGGCTGCTTCTGGCACCCACGTGGCTCACCTTCTCTGCCGTAGGAGTGTGGGATGGTGGCAGGGGAGCTTCCTTCCGGGTCGGGTCAGATGTGTTTAGAGATGTTACATAACTTGTAGGTCACAAAATAAAGGAAGCCAGGGATTTCAACCCAGGTAATCTAGCACCAGAAACCAAGCTCTTAACTGCTCTACTATAACATTTTTGTGATTTACAAGCTCATGGCACATGCATACCAAATGAATAAATTTATGTGAAAATACTGTTGCGAATTGAGACACAGCATCGAACAGCCAATAAATGCTTTTGTTTGCATCTTGTTGTCTGAATGCTCACACTCCCTTCTGAGTTTGTACCTTTTTCTTTTAAACAAATCTTTCCCAGGGGCTCGGGATTTAGCTCAGTGGTTCCAGTGCCTTCCTGGCAAGCACAAGGTCCTGAGCTCGATCTCTGGTACCAAAAAAAAAAGAAAAGAAAAGAAAAGAAAAATCTTTTCCATGCCTCTTACTGACTAGTCCTGAAAATTCTTTTTCTTCCATGGGAGTCAGTGCACATATTCTGTGAGTAGGTCCAACCAGCCATGTGGTGGAAGGAGGAATGAAATGTGTCAAGTTCTTCATCTGCATTCTTCTGCTGGTGTTTTATGCCTGTGGGCTGGAAGTGATTGCTGCAGGTACAGCAGTCTAGCTTATCCTGAATGGGACCATTACCCATGCGGATACTTGTGCCCCCTGTTACCTGTGATCATTATTGCAGTGAGTGCCTGTCTCTTCCTCGTGGCCTTTGTAGGCTCCTTTGGGGCCTGAAAAGAGAACTACTGTCTTATGATATTTGCCATCTTCCCGTCTCTTATGCTAATGGAGGTGACCATAGCCATTGCTGGCCATATTTTTAGAGACAATACGTTAGAGTTTAATAAGGACTTCTGGCAGCACATGCAGACTTACCCCCAAAACAATGACACAGCTTCATTCCTGGACAAATTGTAGGAAGAGTATAAGTATTGTGGGGCTGCTACCTACACAGATTGGGAGAACAGCCCTAGCATGGCTGAGGGCTGAATTCCAGACTCCTACTCTGTCAGCATCACTGCAGGCTGTGGAACTGACTTCTGCGTGCATTCAATCCATACTCAGGGCTGCATGGAGAGGATAAGGATCTGGCTGAGGAAGAATAATGCTGTTGCTAGCTGCAGCAACCCTGAGCATTGCTTTTGAAGAAGTCCTGGGAATTGTTTTTACCTGCTGCCCTGTGAAGAGCATACGAAGTGCCTATGAAATGATGTACAGGGTTTGAT